TCTCTCTCTCTCTCTCTCTCTCTCTCTCTTCCCTCTCTCTCTTTTTCTCTCTCTTTCTTTCTCCCTCTCTCTTTCTCTGTTTCATTTGTACTGTTTGTTCAGTAACATCACTGCAGTTGGTACGAGTGAATTTCTATATCTGTCTGTTCTTGCTTTTTTGGGAAATGTATCGTTTACTGTGGGTCGATAATTTAAATTCTGATGTCAATGGGTGGCTAAGGTCACTTAGCATTATTTCCGCCTTTTTTAGAACGTTTGTTTTGTGCAGATATTCAAAGTTACTTATGTCTCTACCAATTGTTCTTGATGCTTTTCTGATCAACTTGTTTACTTTCATGATGTGCTGCCTTCCCAAATTGCTACCGCAGCAAGAGATACCAAAATTTATCAAAGCTTCTATTGTGGTGGTGTAGAATATTTGAAGGATGGATGGAGTCAGATTAAAAGACCTAAGTTTCCTCAGAAAGTACAGCCTCTGATTTACCTTTTTAAAGATATTGTTTACGTGATTTTGCAATGTAAATTTGTTGTCGATCGTAAGACCAAGATATTTGTAGGAATCCGTGATTTCAATTGTTTCTTGTTCAAGTACGAGCGGTGGGATTGTTTTGTTTTTTTTCTTTTAAAATCAAAAATCATTTCCTTTGTTTTTAAAACGTTCACTTTTAGACAATTTGAACAGCACCATTTAAAAAACAAACATATTTCTTCGAAATTCTCTTTTTCATCAAGATTTATTATTCCAATAATAGCGGAGTCATCTGCGAACTTAATTAAGCGTGTTGTTTTATATTTACTTCTATGATTTTAAAAATATATATTGCATACAAAACCGGTGACAAAACACACCCTTGGTGACCGTCAGTGTTACAAAAGATTGCGTCAGATTTTCTGTTATTCAGCTTTTTAAAAAAAATAATTGTTAAATCTTACTTATCTTCCTTCCATTATTCTCCATTCTAGAACAAGAGGCCGTCCCGGGATGACAGCTGTAGACAACAATCGCATGACAAGCCTCGGTTAACGCCTAAGAGGAGCTAGCTTTATTTTTTTCTTTCAGTGGAAATATTTTACTACCCCATTAACACAATGTTGATTAGAAAGAAGTAAAACTGCTTCCATTTTGCCTGGCACGGAAATCGAACAACACAGTTACGGCTATTCCACTCAGCCAATCATGCAGAATCGGATCAGAGGGAAACCATAAATGCTAGAAACGGTTGGCCTATGACACTGGCGTTCACGAATTTCGAGACCTTAAGACTAAAAGGGTCGAACTTAAGTACGGGTACTTTGTTCATACAAGAAGTTCTTCCCATTAGGATTTCCTGTCAACGAACCTGCCCCACGCCTGATGAAATATTCTGTTCAGTCTTAGAACAGCTCAGCGCTTTTATATTATATATATACACTTTTTTACATCTTGACACAAATAAATATTTCACAGCCTGGAAATTAACCCTGTGTTTACGGAAAAGAAGGTGTAAAGAGGTAAAAAAAATAATAAAAAAGAAGAAGAAAAAGAAAAAGAAGAAGAAGAAGAAGAAGAAGAAGAAGAAGAAGAAGAAGAAGAAGAAGAAGAAGAAGAAGAAGGAGAAGGAGAAGGAGAAGGAGAAGGAGAAGGAGAAGGAGAAGGAGAAGGAGAAGGAGAAGGAGAAGGAGAAGGAGAAGGAGAAGGAGAAGGAGAAGGAGGAGAAG